GCTGTGAGGCGACAGCACGACCTACTGCGCCACTGCGTTGCCCGTTTAATAAAACTTTTTTGTTAAAATGAGCCAAAATTAATTTTCTATATTCACTGAGAAATGGATTTTCATTCATTTTCAAAAGGGGCTGTACACTATACATATAAACCATATAAACACAAAGTTTTATATATATATATATATATATATATATATATATATATATATATATATATATATATATAAAACTTTGTGTGTATATATATAGTATATATATATAGTGTATATATATAGTGTATATATATATATACTAATAATAATAGAATATTTCAATGTATGGGAACCTGCAGTAGACATTATAATCCCATCATTAGCAAATATTTATTAGTAATGTTGGTGTCTCTTACCACACTCTTGCGTGACATCTTGTAAAGGCTGACAGTTCTTGACTTTTTTCCAGATTCGTTCCTCCCAGTGGAGAACATCTCCATCATAGCAGGCCATTTCTGAAATTTCCTGAGCGCTGCGCACGTGTCCCCACACCCTGAACAGACTTATGCTGCCCTTCAGATCAGTGCCAGTCTCGATGTCGAACTTGTCATTCACAAAAAAGTGAGCCACAGCTAAAGTCAAAGTGCCACCGGCGGCCACAGTGCAGCAGTTTGGGTGCAGAGCCACGTCTTTAGACTGAGGATATAAAACCACCTCGGTCCCGTTAAGATAGACTTTTGGCTTGGTCATAGCCTTGGACCAGGTCATGCAAATGGAGTGCCAGTTGTGCAAGGACAGATCCTGGGGGGTGATCCAGACTCTACCGAACATCGTGACATGGAGCTCTGATCCATAACCTCGCATTCCCAGCTCTGTGTGTGTCTTATCTGGGTGCAGATACATGAAGGCGGTCCAGTCCGAATTGCCCAGCTTCTTCTTTATGTTCACACACACGCTGAGCGCTTTCAGGGTTGGGAATTTGTGCTCCTTTTTTAGCTCCCAGTAACTGCAGTTATTCTGCATGAAATCCACCTTCTTCCCCCACAGACTGACAGCAGTTACTGAAGCAAAGAGAGAGAGAGATTTATGAAACATGTATAACATAATAATATAGATTTAGACATTTATGTTATAAATTGTGTGTCTGTGTGTTTATTAGATATACACCTTCATCCTTCGATTTTATGACGCACAAAATGAGGAAGATGGATAAGGCCTGAACCTGCTTACTGTGTTTTCCCATTTTCCACCTGATAATAGACAAGAAAAAAAAGTAAAATAAAGAATAATAATTACACATACATACACACACACGTTTAATATCTTTCTTTTTTCAACCTGTTTTTATACATTTTAATCAGTTTTAATAAATTTAATCATGTTTTCTTTTTGTAACTAAATGTACTTATTTTGAGATTGTTTTATGCATCATATTTAATGATTAATATTTAAAATGTGAAGCACTCCAAATTATCATTATTTTTAAAAATGTGCTATGTAAATGAACTTAATTTGCTTTGTTTTGCCCTAATGAAAAAAAAGTCAATTATCAAAGTAATACAAGCAATACTATAAACAGAAAAATAAAGCATACAATTTAGGCTTTTTAGGAGTCCAGTTCTGCTGCTAATAAACAGCTAAAAATATGTAATATATTATTATTATTATTAATATTAGCTGATATCTTTTATCTATGCAATGATGTCAGTACATAATATTTTACTAGGTATTTTTCTAGATGCTAGTAATTGAGCTTATGATGCACTTTAAAGACAACTAAGTTAATTACAATAACTAAGCAAAGTTAGGGTAATTAGACAAATCATTGTGTGAGTGTTGTTTGTTCTGAAGACCAGTGGTTCTCAAAGTGGGGGTCGCTTGGGGATTTCGAAAAATCAAATTCATTTTACTAAACTACTACAATTAGCAAATTTTATCCATAACCTACAGAGGAAAAAAATAGTTACTAGTTACATTAAAAAACAACATGCAAAAATAAAGGGAGATAACGTTATATTAAAGAGACAGCACATTAGTGTTTAGTGCAGGTTAAACTTTCTGACACCTTTACGGCACTCACGTACACTTAAAATAAATACAGGCCACAGCTTAACAAGGAGGTGTTTTTCAAAATTGAATGATGAATAGGCTTGGTATATGTGTGTGTTTTATATATTTATAACCACCTCAGAGGATATTGAGGGTCACGAGTGACTAGCATTGTTTTTTGGTGGAGTCGTGGGCTTAAAAGTTTGAGAACCCCTGCTGTAGACGATTGAAAAACAAGGGGGCTAATAATATTGACCTTTAAATGGTTGTTAAAAATTTAAAAACTGCTTTAATTCTGGCCAAAATAAAACAAATAATACTTTTTCCAGAGGAAAAATATTATTGGAAATACTGTGAAAAATCCGTTAAATATGACCCGAGAAATATTTGAAAAAGAATAAATATTGCACAGAAGGGCTAATAATTTTGCCCTCATCTGAATACATACACACTCACATATACACTATAAAAAAAGAATGAAGAAAAAATGGTTTGAGTTGTCTTTTTGAAGACAATATCAACTGTAAACATTTGCATATAAAACCTTTTATTCTTCATTAATCCTGACTAAAATATTGTATGGACGATCTAAGTTGACAAGACAACTGAATTAAAACCAATGTGCATGATTGTGAATTCTATCAAATTTAATTAAATAATGACTTAAATTACAATTATGTTGAATAACAATTTATTTATTTTCATATATAAAAAACAAAACAGAATTCAGAGTGAACAAATGATTACTCACCAGATTGAACACATACTAGTGTCAGATATCCCTGTCGGACATTTCTTCATTCAGGACAGCATCAGTGCTTGATCATATATGTTGATGTGAAAGGTATGACTAAGGGAGAGTTTTTGAGTTAAAACGTCACCCCCCGCCTCATAATCCTTTTCAGTTATTCATTAAGCTCATCAATCTTCCGCTTTTCATATTAGTACAGTGTGAACCACTGAATGGGTACATGACATGTGTACAGCATCTTCATAAAGTCAAGTGCTGCTATACTGTATATTATCAGTCAGGATGGTTGTTACGTATATGTTCAGCAAACAAATCGTGTAACCTTGAGGTTAACTCTTGTGCATCAATTTAAAAAAGTTAAATCCATAAAGAGGACAAAATAACCATGTCAAAAAAACTTACATTACAAACATTGCATTACTTCTTTATACTTTCATCTACATACTATCATTTTTTTTACCAACTTCAGACCGATATTGCTGTAAATTAACATTGTTTTTATAGTCTGGCTTGTTTACATTTTGTATTAATACAAAATGTTAATTAACTTGCATTGTCCCTATCAAAAAAAAAAAGCATTAATAATAATAACCGCTAAAAACTGATTTGATTAACATTATTTTAAACATTTTTTTTGTGCAGCGTCACATAAAAATACAATAAATAAATACATATTTCCAAGGATATACAAAAAAAAAAAATCCATGCTACGTAAACATAACTATAATTGGCCTTGCCAACAAATGGAAGCTTTTTAACAAATAATGTAAGATTTATTTTTAAAACTAAAATGGCTCTAAGATTAAATAACTATTTTAATGGGGATATTTTTTTGTCCTGAATAACCTATATTTGTATCTAATGTAAAACTGATTTATGTAAGGAAATGAGGGTGAGATTTTCTAATGATTATGCAAATGTTGGCACGTACACTGTTTCCTTTCAAAGAGCTAAGATAACAAAAAATAATAATAATAATAAACATAAATGTCAATAAATGACCAATTTGTGTTAGATTAATAGATCTTTAAAGATTAACTGTTATAAAATAAAATGCTGTCGAATTTTGCATATAATGTTAGCTGAAAAGGCTTCATTTTTAACTAATTGCAAAAATACATGTACTGTGCTCAGCATAATTGAGCACACCCCATTTTAAAAATGAATATTTTTATCCATTTCTCAGTGAATATAGGCAATGCATTTTGGTGCATTTAATATATTTTAGTCATCGAACATATTTAGAAACTGAAAGATAAATTTAAGGAATATATATATATATATATATATATATATATATATATATATATATATATATATATATATATACACATAAAAGGAAAAATCAAGAGAAGGAAAAAAAGAGAAAAAAGTTGTTGAAATTTTGTAGGTTGTATTAAAAAAATTATATATATATATATATATATATATAATTTTTTTAATACAACCTACAAAATTTCAACAATTTTTTTTGTTTGTTTCTCTTGATTTTTCCTTTTTTTTTTTTTATTTGCATTTAAAAATTTAAAACAACATACATTTGGGTGTACTAGTTTTTGATCTGTTATCGTAAGGTATTTTGTTAGATTAGCTCCAGATTTGGCTTCAGTACTGAATAATCTAATATTCACAAATATAATATTAAACATAAGGATTTAAAATATAGATTTGAGGGTGTACTTATATGCTGAGGACTGTAGCTACATTTAACTCTAAACTTAAAACAAATACAATATTTTTAGTCTATGGTCAATGTCAAAATCATAGATGTTTCTTTATATGTCAGGCTGAATCACATAATTTCCCCTACAATTTGTAAAACTAAAAAAAGTTGCACTAAGTGAAATCAATGTAGGTCGTTTTTCAATCGTAAATTCTAAATACATCAAATGTTTCGCTCTTTATCTTACCTCACTGTTTTCCCGCTCTCCTCCAACCCCGCCAATTTAGTTTAATTGTCAAAAAACTACAACGTGGACCGTTTAGCTAGAGTTAGCATATGTGTGTCTTCATTAAAAACACAGCAGTATACGACGTTTTTCTGTACTATGTATTAAAATACAAATGTACAGTTAAAATAACAACACAGACAGCAATAAAGCAGTTTCTGAGCTCTTCTACGACGTTCACGTTGTGAAATGGTCAAACATTGATTCAACTGATTCTGTTATTTGTCCCACTAGATGTCGCTGTTGTACGAAAAAAGACAAATACAAACAACCTTATCAGATTTCTCAGATACTTAACTTTATTTTTCAGTTTATACAAAGAAATGAAAATGGATTATTCATGTTAATTGCATTAACGATAACGTATAAGTAAGGAGACAGACAAAACCTACACATTTTAATTTTCCAATATGGTATTTTATATGAAAGTATCTTGAAAGGAATCTGCTGAATCACTGAAATATTCATTGGTCATGATTATAGGCTAAAAGTTACCAACCCAAAGCTTTATTTGGCATCATTAAATGTGAAATGAAAGATCAATACATCTCAAAAACAGGCTTCACATTCTCAAAAACACTTATTTTACTATCTGTCTTTCTTCCCGCCCTACTATCTTTCCTGAGACAAATGGGTCATTGGAAAAAGAGAGGATAAGTTTTCCTATCAAAGCCTCAAGGTAAACGAAACATTCCTCACAGGAAACATCAAACTCCCCTCAAAAAGCTGCCAGAATCAACACAACAGAAGCCTTTGTCAATACTTCAACATTTTTATGTGGGATTTTTGTATAAATTCAAAAGAAGGCTGATATTTTTCTAAAGTAATCTCCCTCTTCTGAGTGTTTACAGTTTCTTGGAGCAGTCGGAGCAGTAAATGTGTCCGCTGTGAGCAACAAAGCGCTTGTCGGCCAGGTTGAGGGAGCATTTCTTACAGTTGAAGCAGTAATCATGCCAAGAGCCACCCTCGTAGTTCACTACATTCGTAGCCTTGCCAAATCCTGTGGGATGACAAAAAGAGATTTAATTGTAACTTCAGTTCAAGTCAAATATATAACATTCAATGAAAATAACACATGTCAGTGCAAGTGTGTCGGTCAGTGGTGTGCAGTGGAGTGTTTTTTGGACGAGGAATGTTTTTTTAGTATGTAACTGCATGTTTAAATTAAACTTAGTTGACATCTTTTAAAGATATATAGGTCACCTAAAATAAAAAGAAGACATTTTGAACACAAAAGAAGATATTTTGAAGAATGTTGGATACTGAAATCCTTAGAAAAAAATACTATAATTACTGGTTTTCAAAATTCCTCAAAATATGTTCTTTTGTGTTATACATAAACACAAATAGGGTGGGGACAAGCGCAGGGTGAGTAAATCATGACCGAATTTCCGTTATATATAAAATGCCCCTTTAAGGTGAAATAATATCAAGAAAACATTAACCAAAACCATTCGTTTTTGACTCTGAAAAATGACATTGCTGTCGTTTGTAGAACTGCTTATTGAACTTAGAATTAATTCTATGATTTAGAACCACTGTAAGGCTGCTTTGATAAAACCTGTATTGTACATAAAGCTTTATAGAAATAAATACCTAATTTGACAAACTTTTATGTGAGGCATGTTGTTCCATTTATCAAAATAGCATTTATTACTATCTTTTTTGCATTGTATTTACACCCACCCCCCTGCTCTTCACTTTTTGTTCGTTTTGCTCTTAATCTTCTGTATCTATTGTGAATATTGTATAAAAGAACTGTTCTCTTTTACTGTATTCTAAGTTGTATTATACAGTTTCTTGAAATAAAAAAAACTACTTTACGTCAACTTTAAAGTTACGTCTGCTATCACCATCATGAGGGCCGCTGTCTAGACTAGAGCTCTAGTTAAGCTTGCTTCGCTACTTTTAATTGTGGAAATAATTTAAAATAATCAGGCATCAAAGTTTAGACATTTCAAGTAAGAGGGTAGTTGTTTGCAAATTTGTCTTCTCTACAAATTCTGTCTGTCTGTTCTTCTGTCTGTCTTTATCGATTTACATTTGCAGAAAGTACAAAAAATGGCAGAAAAAAAAAATTAATTCCCCTTTTTTCTCACACAAGCACTCATCAACACAAGAATTTTTTCCTTCTTCAACAGTTTACCATGTCTCTACGCAACCGCCGGTGAGAGCTTCTAAATTCAATCTTGATGCCCAGCCATTGGCAGTCTGATGATCAAAATATTTTACATGTTTTTCATTAAGAATAAATCAATAAAAGGGATTTGTGGAGTTAGTCTTTTGTGCTCATGTTTTATGTGCTAGTCTAAAGTCAACATGCAGTTTACTAGTCTTGGTCTTAATATTAACGTTAATTTCAGAGGAGTCTACATTACAAATTGAGAAATTCACCACAGCAATAATCAACGCCTGCTTCGTCTTTCTTAGAACTTAAGTTTATCGGACTGTGTTCTCCGGAACCTTCTCAGGTGATGGACTAATACAGGGGTGTTCAACTCCTGGAGATTTACCTTCCTGCAGATTTCAGTTGCAACCCATATCAAATACACCTGCCTGTAATTATCAAGTGCTGTTCAGGAACTATTTAATTGGTTCAGGTTTGTTTGATCAGGATTGGAGCTGAACTTTGCAGGAAGGTAGATCTCCAGAAACACTAGGCTAATACATTCCGATTGGTTGCTGCCAATCCATGTCATAGCATATTGACTAACTTCAACTCTCCTCAATGCCCACATTGTCAAAGACATGCCACACCAATTTTGTTGGAGCTTGTCGCTGGCTCCCATTGAATTACTGTCATCTAAATTTTTTTCAAATTGCGAAACAAATGCCTGCTTCAGTGTTGCCACTTTGTGGACAAACTATATAGTGCAAAAACTAGGAGAGGCTTATTCTGAAAACGTAGCCCAAACACATTTCTGTAGATCGCGAATTATGTGGCCATAATTCTTCTTTCATCTTTAAAACAAAATCTAAAAAACGTGGTAAAAACCAGGGGCATTTCTTTTTCTGGATTGTTTTTTAAAACACTGCGGTTGGGTTCTGCGGCCTCTGGTGGATTCACAAAAACAAAAACAAACAAAAAAAAAACAAACAAAAAACGTAGCTCCTGGGACATATTTTGCTCTCTCCAGAAATGTATATAGAGGTACGTAATCAGAATGAGCCTTGGTTGGCGAAAACAATTCAATGCACATATGCAATCTGCTTGTACATCATATGCAGTCTGAAAAATCTGTAGGGTACTGATGACAAAATTTGCACGACACTTACCCTATGTATGAGCATCAGACCCAAATGTCTTAAGATCTAATTATTTTAAGCACAGTTTGACCATGTCGGTGTGTCAACAAGCACAATCACTTCTAAAATATATGTGCATTCAAACCTGTAATGGGGTTCTGGCAACCGCTGCATTTTTTGGCCACAGTGCTTTTATAGCAGTCCACACAGTAGACTTTCTCCTCGTGGGAGGTAAAGCGGGTGCCCGCCAGAGGCTTTCGGCAGGAGGAGCACACAAAGCACTCTGAATGCCACGGCTGGTCCTGGTAATTCACACCTCCTGTGGTAATGGGCTGGAGGAACAAGGCCAAAACATGTGGAAACAATAGGCTGGGACAACTTGTGAAAGTCATTAATCTTATAAATCTTTATTTCATATAAAAAAACTGGAACAGTAAAAGCAATTATAAATTAAAATAATAAAAACATATTAAATAGATTAACAGAATTTGGTAACACTTTAGTTTTGGTCACAATTTATGCTAATAACTACTGGCTTATTACCTGTCTATTATTAAGATATTAACTGTTCATTATAAAGTATGCTTATAAAGTATGATCTTACTCAGCATCCATAATCCTACCCAAAACCTAAACTCAACTTCTACCTGACTAACTATGAATAAACAGCTAATTAGTAGTTGATTAAGCTAGTAGTGTTAGTTAATGGTTTGTTAATACTGTGAATCGTGACCTAAGCTAAAGTGTTACCGAATTTTTATTTACCTTCTTACAGCAAGCACACTGTTTGGCAAATTTCATCTCATGGCAAGGGCTGCAGTAGACATTGTTGTTCTTTGTTATGAAACTCTTGTTGCCGATTGGCTTTTGACACTGATAGCATTTGAAACACTCATCGTGCCATGAGTTGCCTTTGTATTCCACATTCTCAGTGCCTATTAAACACATGAGAAAGTAAAAGAGAAGACAGTAAAAATACACACAGCATGAACACTTGCTGTTAATTCACTCAGGCCATACAAAGTGTTTTTAATCTCAGGAGAACATGGGATTTTTAGCTGAATCTGTGTTCTTTGGTGATTCATAAAAAGAAAGCCAATGCAACTTTGAGAGTCAAAAACATCAACAAGCAAAGCAAACTTAGAACCTGTGACTTTTTGTGATACAGTCAGGTCCTATTACATGAACTAATAAGTCTGGGCAAGAAATTGAACGTTATTTACATAACTTACATAATATTTACATAACTAACCTCATCCGTGTAAAGTAACAAACTACAAATACTCAAATTACTGTAATTGAGTAGTTTTTCTCAGAGATTATAATTAAGTAGTTTTAAAAATGTCTATTTTTACTTTCCCTTGAGTGGATTTTTAGTGCAGTGTCAGTACTTTTACTACACTACTCTCCTTCAACATGCAGTCACGGCTTTATTTTTTCCTGTCTATGGGGATTAGAAAAATCAGTCTTGTGATTCTTGTCCAATCAAATCGTACATACAGTAGAAGGTAAATCGCATCATACTGAACTACCTCAAAACATTAGCACTTTATAATTGCAGCAAACTGTTTGGAAGCATTAAAAGGGTCCAAGAAGATGTCCAAAATCTTTACACGCATTGACCCAGAGACTGATGTCATGTCACTGATAATAAGATGACAAATATTTATTTCATTAAAAATGAAAATCGAGTTTGCGTCAGAACTCAACACCAGGCCGACGTCAATGTCCAACGTCCAACCTAAAATCAACGAAATATCAACATCTAATGATGTAGCGCATTTAGTTATTGCCAATAGCTTGACTTTGTGTGGATGTTACCACTATGACGTCTAACAGACATTGGATTTCAGTTGCCATGCCTGACGAATATCAGCATTTGTAGTCAATATGATGTTAGTTTAAGATGTTGGCTCAATTATCCAACACAACCTTAAATCAACCAAATATCAAAGTCATTTGACGTCATTATTGAGCATCAAAATAACGTTGTCCTTAGACGCTGTCTAGACATTGAATTTTGGTCACCTGACATCACAACCTAAATCTAACCTAATATTAACGTTATATGACATTGTGTGCCTGCTAGGCAATAACTAAATGAATGTTACATTTACACGCATCCACCAATTACATGTAAATGCATCAGCTTTTTACAGCGTAATACTCACTACTCAGAACTCCTGAGTGCTTTTGAAAGGTCTACTTTTTACTCACACTTTGAATAATATTTACAACAGATACTTTTACTCTACTTGAACTACATTTTTAAGCAAGTAATGGTACTTTTACTTAAGTATGATTTTTTAGTACTCTTTACATACCTCACTGATTAACCTTAATCCACAGCCTCAGCACACGGACCTCAGCCATGGGTATTAATTGTTTTTGTTACCTATACAATACGTACTTATTTGTTCTTTTAAAGTACAAAAGAAATTAAAACTAACCATGTTACTTTGTTAGCTCAGATTGCCAGTTTTGTGGTGAACAAATCTGTGTATGTCATTAAGACAAAATAAGTTTGCCCTAATCTAAAATTAAAATCTGAAAACGCACTTCCCATTTCCGGATCTCTCTGAATGAAATGCCCACTTTACTACAGCCAATCAGCTTGCAGCAGAAAAAAAACAAGCCACACCCACTGTTTTCCCATTTAATATTCTGTTTCTATAGGAACTGCATTACAATACGAAAAGAAACAAACAGTTGTTGCTCCCGGTTCATGTGGACTTTATAGCACATAACTTTATGAATCACCAAGAACGACAGTTTCAGCTGAAGGTCTTAAAGAGTCTTAGCCAGGGCCAGACGGAATCTGCAGACATTTTTTGATATTTCTGCGGGGAATTTTGGTAAAAATCTTCGGATTTCTGCGGAATTATTTTGAGAGTATCCAGCGCAGTATCATAACTAAAACCTTAATATATGAAATAAAAAGTAATAAAGTACTGAATAAAAACTTAATAAATTCAGATTTACACATTTACTCAAGTAAATAAACAGAATTAATGTTGGGCTAGAAATCTGCAGAAATCTGCGGAATTCTGTATAAAATCTGCGGAATTCTGCGTGCGCAGATTCCGTGTGGGCCTAGTCTTAGCTTACATCTTTATAATGGCCTGAGGCTGAGTAAACTAACTGCTTAAATAAATATTCCTTGACTCAGAATAAATAATTTCTACCTGGCATCATTTCTAGATAACAATTCTAGAATAAGCCTAAAAATTACACTTTTAAAATGTCCTCATTGTTAAGATTGTTGGAATCTCACTTACGTTATATAATTAAAAATGATCATATTTACAATAATTACGATACAGTATTTCAAAAACTATAAATATCTGTCCCCTCACCTGGCAGTATGGGCTTGTAGCAGCCATGGCAGCGAGGAGCGTCCTCACGTGAGCTACACGTCCCACACAGGATCCTGTCATCTTTGGAGGTGAAAGACTCCTTGGCCAGATTCTTATAGCACTTGGCACATCGGAAACAATCAGAGTGCCAGTATTTCCCCTTATGGTGAAGCTCCTAGACAGGTAAGAAGAAAGAGAAATGTATATATTTGTGCATATATTATAATAATGATAATAAACTGTTATTAGAAGCAGAATGTCACTAAAGACCGTAGTAATGCCATCACAAGAATAAATTACATTTTAAAAGCTTTACTTCTATAAACGCAGCCAAAATGTTAAATCATCTGAACAATGTGATGCTGCTGAATGGTAGTTAATATATTTATTTTAGTTCACTCCTTTTGAATTATATAAAAAAAGAAAACACAATACATTTGTGCATATTTTTACTGTTATTTTGACTTTAAAAACTCAAAAACGTTCACACTAGTAGCTTATAAATGTCATTATGCTATTACCAAAAGCAGACTAATGGCAATGATGGCAAGCTGTTTTAACATTTAATCTATAAACAATACAGTACTTTTGTTACTGGTGATTTTTTATTATTATTGAGATATTATAATAAATTTCTAGCACTTGATTATTGGCTATAGGTGCTGTTTTTTTAAATACTACAGGCTATTCTTTAACTACTTGTATCTTTTTTGAGCAGGCATCTGATGATAAAGTACTGGTAAAATAAAACAAATTCAATGCAACTTCGGTAAAATACGGACAAAACGAACCATTGGGTTAAAGATGATTTATTAATTCACTTAATTTTTTTACACCAGCAGTTGGTTTTATCCATATTTTTGGAGTTGAAATAACTAAATTATTACTTAAACTAAACTTGTGGATAATGTATTTAGCCTACTAGAACATAAAAAATAGGTAAGCCTATCAGAGTGACAGATCCCTCCAAAAGTAGATTTTTTTTACCAGTAAAAAACAAAATAGTCATTTAAGGCTGTAAAAAAGAAGTATCTAATGAATTTGATTTATTTAATTTTAAAAGTAATTTATAAAGAGGTAATAAGAAGAACTAGAAAAGTAAAGTTCGTAGGCAAACTTTATGGTGGCTTGAGAAAGTCTAGCCTGAAAGTTTGAAGTAGTTTTAAAGTTTAAATAATTGAGTTTAAAAAAAGTTTAAAACAGTCGGCATAGATAAAAAAGTACATATTTGTTAGCATGTTTCTGGTATGGATTGGCATGCTTCATGCTAGGGTGTTCTGAATGGTTTTTAGAGTGTTCTATGTGGTTGCCAAGGTGTTGCTAGGCAGTTGCTATGGTGTTCTCAGTGGGTTAGGGTTATATAGGGTCAAATTTTTGTTTGAACTAGCATATTCTAAGCATCATTTTAGCATGAATTAGCATGTTGCAAGCATGTTTGCTAGTATGAATTGGTATGTCGTAAGTATGTCCAATGTAAAGTCAATGGTAGTTTTTTTACAATGGAAGTCTATGGGACAGTTGCTAAGGTGCCGTAAGTGGTTGCTAGGGTGTGAATAGTAAATTGAAAGTTCATCAGGGATTGGCAGATGGTAGTCTGAGTTAAATAAGCTCAACTTTAAGTCTATATGACAGTCTGGTAGAGAGTTTTGAGGTTATAAAGGTGGGTCCAATGTTAAGTCGATGGGACTTTTCCAAATTTTCCGGGACAGTTTTAAGAAAACTGTAAGTTGGATTAGTAGGAAAAGATATAGCAACTTAATTCAGTATAGTTTGGCGGTTTGGAGTTAGTTTGGTGTTTGAAGTATGAATGGTTTATGAGGAGATGCATTCCTCAAATATCATGAGAAGAAGAAGAAGAAGAAGAAGAAGAAGGAAGCAGTTTGTGTAATATAACAGTATGTTAGCTTTCTCAAGCCACCAAAATAAGTAGGTTGTAATAGAGTACTAGTGTTTAACAAGTAGGCCTACTAATGTGCAAATAATAAGCACTAAGCAAATTAATAGTCCTTAATGGAAAACATGCTGAATATCTAAACGATAAGTATGGTATCATTAAAGTAGATATTAATATGTGTTTTTTAAACAGTTTAATGTCAAAGGCATAAAAAAAACCTTGGAGTCCGTGCTGATCGTGCGTCGACACTCTGTGCAGGTGTTTGCGCAGAACTTGTCGAAGCATCGCACACAGACTTGTTTCTCGTCTTTCCTCACGAACTTCTTTCCACTGAGGTCCTCACGACAGTAAAAACAGTTGGACCGGCTTGCCATAGTCAGTCACCCAATAAACCCGCGAAAAGCTGTGAGAAATAATAACAGCGATTACCTCATCTCGCCCATAAAACTGGGTCATAAAAACACACCATGACGTATGAATGTAGAAAGAGAAACAGATCTTAACTGCAAAAAAAGAGTGTTTGTCTCACAGCCCCTCATGTGTAAGTTCACAGCAGCACTCAGAGTTTCCTCAGGAAACTGTGTGAGCTAATTTATTGATAAGAGAGTGTTTGTTCCGTTTTCCCTTAGGCGGAGGAGCTAAATTACTTTAAGTTGTTATGTAACCATAGGCAACAGCACACAGCACATGTTTTTTATTGTGCTTCGGTCTTATCTTGATCTGATAACGCGTTCAGTTCAGCTGTAAAGCAGACTGGCAGACAGACGAGATGAAAGCAAGACAGATCCTTTCTTCAACAAGATGATAAATCTTTTCGGTAATAATTAAACAGCACATTCGCCGCATGCATTCATGCTTGAAATCAAATTATGTCTTGCACCAGCACAGGAAATACAATAAAAATTGAATTTGTTTCGAGATATATTGGATTATAAACATACCGGATCAAATTGCTAAAGTGCCTGAGTTGAATATTGTTTTACTCGCCAAAATAAACCCTCATTGGGAGCTTTCCCATGTAGGCCTTAACAATGTGGATGTGTTAACAAACATTTCCTGGGAACGAAATGGTAAAGACATTGCTAAAGTTCACCCCATGATCAAAACTTGCTTTTTAATTAGCTCCCCCTCAGACGATATTCAAGATTAGCCTACTTTTTTGTCCAGCAGAACATAAAAGAAAGCTGTTTTTTTTAGGTGAAACTGTCAATTAAATTCATTACTTTTTGATTTAGTGGCTAATTCATGAATTTGTAGGCTACATTTAATTAACAGCTTAGTCAAAGACTAACACATGACATTCATATAAGCTGCGTCCCAAATGGCACACTAAACACTATGTACTCGCCCGATAGCTCCGCCCCTTCTGCTACGTGAGCAAACTTGCGTTCGTTGAGCGCGTGAAGTGTCCATGATTACACACTTTATTTTAGCGGCTGAATGAGTACATCATCTAGGTAATTAAAGTGCACTTATTATTCATTATTATTATTAAAGTGCACTTATTACTGAGTTTTCAGTGTGAACACACTACTTGCACTATTTATACTACAAAATGGCGTAAAATAAAGTATGCGGTTTGGGACTCAGCTTATAGTTTTGAATGGGAAAAAGTGTAATGATCAATATGGTGAATGAAGCCCCGCCTACTAGTACAGGAGCCAATCATCGATCGCGAATGACTAACGTTTTTTCCAGGGGGAAAGCTCGGACCAGACGTATGTTACGACAGTTTTTGTGGTCAACAAACGCACTGAAATCTCAGCAAATACTTGCCTCACAGACATAAGAAATATATCCACATAAAGCTTGAAATCTGTACTTTTGAATTAACCAACTACACTTGAGCTGCAAACTTATTTTGGTTTTGTAATCTGTATTAAACGAACGCAAGGTACAGTCCGTATGCACATCACATGACAGCAACTACTTAAACGCCCACAAACTTGTAAACAAAGAGTCACTGTCATTTCTGCAGGAGATTCGCCATCGAGACCAAGTTATGGATTGCTTCAGAGGACCAGCGTGATCTGACGAAGCATTATTCAGAGGATAATGTGTATTGTGATAATGTGTAGAACAACCATAAAAGAGGTTGGTATCGTGATCTCGTTCCTTTCGAGTGCATATACACATTGGCTCGGGCAGTCTGAAAAAATGTCAATTTTGTTTGATTTAAACGTTTAGAAATGAAACTTACGAGAAAGGTGTTATTTAATTTTAATGGTGATTACAAACCTGTAATGTAATCGTAAGCTTGGCTAACAGTTTTGGAGAATTTGATGTTTCCTCATTCAGACAGTATGCCTGAGCAAAGTGCCAGAGAGGCGTTTCAAATATGGCAGCTGAGTGAAATGACTTGCCTTAAAGAGAGATTGGGTTAGTATGAGTTGCTCTTCACCAATGATTGGGTTTAGAGACGAGGTGGAGTTTGGAGGTATGCCTTCTTTTAAAAATGGTATGTTTTCATATGAATAAAATCACACGATTTTGTATAAACCCTTTCCTTTTAGTCACTTTTCTGTCAATAGAAAACAGCAATGTGTTTTTACATGGATGCATTCCATGGATGCACCCATGCATTCTGGGTATTTAAGACAAAGAAGCCTGATTCCCATTGATCTCTACTGATTTATTGTATCTTATATACAACCATACAACATAGGCTCATTCTGAAAACGTAGTCCTATATACGTTTCTGGAGACACTAATTATGTAGCCAGAGGCTTGTATGGCTGCATTTTTTAAAATGAACGATATGGGCGGTATGACACTGCTCCTTTGGCATCTACCAGCTAACTGATTACCTCCGTATGAACATCTTTCCCACTGTAACCAGTTTGTCCAGTCTGCGGACTTGAGACGCAAAGAGGAGTCATCCACAGCATCGTGAAGAACGGTTCCAGAAAGCAGGTAAGACAAAAACTGAATCCAAAAAATAAAATTAACAAGTATATAACAGAGTAAAATGTGGTAAAATATGACTGTTTAACTGACTGAGTGACCCACCAATCGACTGACCCACCCTCCTCCTTCCCTAAAGCCAAACAATTTTATCGATTGACCCACCCACCAGCTTACCTAAACCCAACAAACAATTTTCAAAAGCAATCCAAAAAAAGAAAAGCCCCATCTGATTTTTACCACAATTCCAGATTTTACCATTTTACCACATTCTGACCCTGTTATTTACATGTTTATGTCGTTTTTTTGGGTTCTGTTTTTGTCTTACCTGCTTTCGGGAACCGTTCTTCTCCCGACTTGCACCCTGTCATTGTGGTCATCTCCTCTCTGCGTCTCAAATTCGCTGACATACATGGCGAGCCAACGGGACAAACTGGTTAAAGAGGAAAAGCCATCCATATGGAGGTAAGTGGTCAGCTGGTAAGCGTGAAAAGGATGGCGTAATACTGCCCCATAGAGTTTATTTAAAAAATGAAATGGAGCAATACAAACCTCTGGCTTGATCATTTGCGGTCTCCAGAAACGTATATAGAACTACATTTTCACAATGAGCCTATGTTGGATTTATTGTTCACCTAAAGAAAAACACTATGCACTAGCAAAATGAACGTTGTAAAATTTGATGTCTACAGTGTTCTGAAGAGAAAAAAAATCCCATACATCTTGAATTGCTTGAGAGTAAATTAACCAAACCTTCTATAAAATGTTGTGCAAATGCTTTAAGCAAATATGCGCATGTTTACTAGCATGTGGGCACACATTTGATCGTGTTGTTTTTCTTTTCTATATGCGTGCAGAAGTATGTCTGGTATGCATGTGGCAAGATGAGGAATGTTAACAGTTCTTTGACCATGTTTAAAGAGGGAAGCTTCTTGAAACACTTTGCATTGAGTCTTTCCTACATGTCTGGTTAATTATTTAGCAAGCAATAGATTCGAACAGCTTCCAGGTGCCTTTTCTGTCAACTAAATAAAGGCTTCGGAATGACATATTTGACTGATTTACATAAAGTCCCAAAGGCTGAGGATGAATATAATACGTTTATTTTCATATCTCTTTTGCAAATGTGAACTCTTAGCTAATATCATTTATGGGAAGAAAACTGGTAGATCCCAACGTTTTAAATGAAATGTTGGCCTGTGCAGTCCATAAATAAGTTCTCCACAAGTTTTAAGACAACATTGCCAAAACAAAAAATAAACTCCACCTCCATTTTGTTTCTACAGCCCTATTTTTCTAGTGAATGGTTTGTTACTGACCCACTGGACAAATCTAAAACCAAACCACCAGTCTGTTTCAGACAAGCAGAAGTATTGTTTTTTTATTGTTTTAATGGACACAAGAGAAGAATGTGAACAGTAATGAGGTTTAAATATGCTGGATACTGTTGCAGGACTTGGCAAAAGTGATCTTGTTTTTCCAAAAGGCTTCTTCAATGTGCTGTTCATGATGCTTTTTTTTCAGTTGTGTGTTTCCTGGTCGGTTAACTTTAATGACAGACCAGATAGACATTCATGGATCACATTTTTAGCTCAGTTTCAATGCTAAAGCTCAAAAATCACCAGCTCATACTTTTTGAGTTGGATTTATTTTATGGGATAGTCAAGTGAGGGCAGGAATTTCTGAGGAAAAAAGAATACGTGAAGAGAGGCTGGATACACAAAACGTTTAAAGAGGAACAATCTGCTTTTCTGAAAAGATTAATGATTAAGAATAATCTTTCCCTTAATTTGTTTCTTTGGATATTAAGGGAGGTGTTATTTTATGCATATTTTCATTAATCTGTTATTAAGATTTTTTAATTATTTTATTTGCAATTAATTTAATAAGATGTATTAAACGGAGATATTACTTATAATAATTAATTATAAAAATAAGAATGCTTTTATTTTTTCTAAAAAAGGAATACAAGTGAGACTTTATCAGTATTGTTAATCATGAATGTTTCATTATCTCATTTTGGATTTTTTTTTTTTGCCTAAAAGTTTTGTTTTAAGGGAGATTATCAATATTAATCCAAAATTTTTTATCTTATAGTTGGGATTTTGTTTTTTAATCTTTTCTTATTTTTTAAATGTTATTTTATAATTCCTGGTGTTTTTTTATTTTTATTTTATTTAACTCATTCTTCATTCATTCATTTTCTTGACGGCTTAATCCCTTTATTAATCCGGGGTCGCCACAGCGGAATGAACCGCCAACTTAACACATTCACACACACACTCATACACTACGGACAATTTAGCCTACCCAATTCACCTGTAGGGCATGCCTTTGGACTGTGGGGGAAACCGGAGCACCCGGAGGAAACCCACGCGAACGCAGGGAGAACATGCAAACTCCATACAGAAACGCCAACTGACCCAGCGACCTTCTTGCTGTGAGGCGACAACACTACCTACTGCACCACAGCGTCGCCTAACTCATTCTTGATCTTTACTTTCTTAAAACAAGAAAATCTAAGACATTTAAGAAAAAGGTGAAACTTAGCATTAAAAATTAATTCATCACAATAAAATAATGTTCTTAATTATTATTTAAATCCAAATTCTGTAACACTTTATAACTACATACTATGAATCATCTATTAAGCATTAGGAAATGGTTAATTAATTATTTGTTAAGGATTAACTCTACATTAATAAAC